CCTCCCCCCCGCCCCCCCTCAACCTCCCCCCCGCCCCCCCTCAACCTCCCCCCCGCCCCCCCTCAACCTCCCCCCCGCCCCCCCTCAACCTCCCCCCCGCCCCCCCTCAACCTCCCCCCCGCCCCCCCTCAACCTCCCCCCCTCAACCTCCCCCCCCGCCCCCCCTCAACCTCCCCGCCCCACCTGCGCCGCATCCAGGTAGCCCAGCTCCGCCAGCGCTGCCCCGCACCCGTTGGCGGCCCACACGTTACGTGGGTCGGCCTCCAGCACGGAGCGATACTCATCCAGGGCCTAGGCGTGGGAGGAGAAGGAAGGGGGGCAAGGAGAAGAACGAGGGCAGCAAGGTGAGAACGCAGATGACGGAGGGGCGGGTGCTGGCGGAGAGGCTCAAGTGAGGAAACGCGGAGACGCGGAGGGAAAAGGGGCGGAAGGCAAAGGAAGGTTGGGGGCAGCAGATGGGCAGGTCGAAAAATACATACATAGATACATAGATACATACATGCAGGCGTGTGGCCGACATTTTCCTTCTTACGAAAAGAAATAGAGGGAGATGTACACGGCCGGGGTGTTTGTGTGTATCGGGTGACCGGGCGGGGCCGGATTTCAGGCATCGACGAGGCCAGCATGCTCCAGCATAGCCGCAGTTGGACTTCCTTCCCATCACACCTTCTAAACCACGCAAACACGCACCCACCCTGTCTCACACACACTCACACCCGCCCGCGGCCTTGCTCATTGTCAAAACATACTCCGCTTTAGTAATGTACGGCGCCCTCCTCCCCCAATAACAAAACCCCGTAATAAGTTTTATCAAGTTACCGGTTTCTTCTCCCTGTCGTCTACTCCTCCTTTCCCCTCCTGCCATCCCCCCCCTTCCACGGACCTTGCTGAACCGCGCCTCCGCCTTCTTGGCCGAGTCCTCCCTCCTGTCCCGCGGGGCCGTGTACAGGTAGGTGTTGGCGTAGCCGATGCGGCCGTACACGTCCCGCTTGCTGCCGTCATCTTGGAGCAACTGGATAAGAGTCTACGACGCACATCAAAAGCCCAACAAGAACGAAAAGTGGGAAGGGTAAGGGGGAGAGGGTAAGGGGGAGAGGGTAGGGGTAAGGGTAAGCGGGCAGGCAACACACGAAAAAAAATGGATGACTGCACACATGTTTTTGCACCAATGGAAAAGTGCTTCAGTGAACTAACTGAAAAGAGGAATGTTGGATGGAGGAATAATACGTGACTAATACTGTAAATATTAGACAATACAATAAAGAGAAGAAGCTCGTAAGCACGCAGCACAGAGGCTGCGGCCGTGGTAGATGAACGGCATATGTGGATGGCGACGTTACAGAGGTCCCATGACAGGGGCCGAGGTCATGTGCCTAGTGCCCGTGCCTTATCATCTTCCTTGCCGCCCCTACCATTCCGCTCCCTCCACGCCACCAAAGACGCATTCAAAGACGCATTCAACAGCAATGCAGTACACATACACACATACACACATACACACACATACACACCCAGCTCCCCCCCTCACCCGCCCCGCCGCCTCGTAGTCCCTCCTCTCCATGTGCAGCTGACTCATCAGCGCCAGGGCGTCCGCATGGCCGCCCTCCACATCCAGAGCCGACTGAAGGAACGGCAGGTGGGGTGGGGGGGAGGGCGAAGGGTGGTAGGGAGATAAGATTACACGCAAACGTCTGAGGCTCTATAACTGTTGACGATACCCAGGGCTGAGGATATGGGAGGTACGAGGAAAACCCTTAGCCGGCTAGCCCGCTAGCCGCCGGTAACGCCGCAAGGAGGCGGGTTGGCGGAAACGATGACGACTCAACCCGCAGGGCCATCATGATGGGATGGAACCGAGGATGATCGCCCAACCGCGATGTTGGGAACTGGGACAGGCAAATGGGAAGCCAAGGCCCATAAGGGGTATTCCTATTCGCTTGGACCAACGTGTCAACGTGCGGCCCAGCACGCAGAACAAAAAGGTACAATGAGGAACACCCCCCCACACACACCCCCTCCCTCACACACCCTACCTCACACACCCTCCCTCACACACCCTCACACACACCACACACATGTGTACGCAGAGGTGTACAACTCCTACAGCCGCTCTGGCACAGAGTCCCATTTGGGGACACCGCCTCAGACGCCGCTCAAGAGGTGGAAAGAGAGCTGCTATCGTAAAGACCGGAAAACGGAGCACACACACAACACACACAACACACACACACAATACGCACACACGGACGTCTCTCCCCTCGCCCCTCCTTCCTGGCCCCACCTGCGCATATCGCAGCGCCTCCTTGTGGCTCCCCTTGGCCCTGGCTATACACGCTAGCCGCAGGTAGCAGTCGATGTAGGTGCCGTGCTCGGACAGCACGTCCTGCCGGAAGGGGTACGGACGGCGGCGGATTAACAGCATGCAAAGAGCCAAAAAGGACTAAAACTGCCATCGCCAAAAGCACCGCCAACTGCCGTATGAGCCAGGACAGACAGATATGGGCGGAAGATCTATAGGAGATTTAAAAGGAATAAGTTTAGCGGGCCAGAGTTGACCCGCAGCGCACTTAGATTTGGGGGGGGAGAGAGACGGGCCAAACAGCCGGGCCAAACAACCCAAGCCAACCCCCCGGCCCCGCCTTCCCCCCCCCCCCCGTATCTCACCTTGTACAGCTGCGCCGCGGCCTTGTACTCCCCGCTGGCCTCCATCAGTCGAGCCCGGTTGAATGTGAGTGTGGCCAGGTGCATGTGGGAGCTCACCCCCCCACACCCATCCGCCCCGCGAGACATGGCGTCTTGGGCCCGCCGCAGCAAAGCCATGGCGGAACTCACATCACCAGCCCTAGGGGTAGGCAGGGGGGAGCAGGGGCCGCGGACGCGGGGAGATGCGGCAGGGGGGAAGGACGAACCACAAACGAGTGAAGCTGCTGCCAGGGCAAGAGTGTACCACAGAAGTAGAACGTGCGGCAGGGGGGGTAAGGGACGGCCGGGAAGGGAGGGCCGGGCGGTGTGTGAGGACTTGGGCTTGGCTTAAGAGCCTCAAGGCGGCGGCCATGCAGATGAAGGGAGAACAAAGGGATGCGGATAAAAAGGATGCTGGCTTCAAAAGGAGCTCTAGGTCGGCATGCATGCGCCCATGCTGAACGTGATGGGCGACCACAAGGTCCCGCACGCGGGGGTTGCGCGACGCGGCAGTGTAGTTTGTACGACATACGGCATGCAGAGGTGTGCAACAGTGGTGGTGCATGACGGTGGCATACGACGGACTCGACTTGCCTGTAATGCAGTACGGCAGCGTTGTTGAGCAGGCGGGCAGGGATGATGTGGTCGGGAACGGGCTCGTCCTCCTCCTCCTCGCCCTCTGTGAGAGCACACAACGAACGCAACAGAGGGCCAGCAGTGGAGCCAGCAGGTCGGTAGGGCAGCCGGTGGCGGATACGGAGGTCATGTGTCCATACGGATGAGCGCACGTATGTATGTATGATGTGTGGGACAGGGGGTTCATATCTTCACCCGTGGCCGCTACCCGGCGAAACCCTGCCTTCCCCGGTATTTCGGGGCACCCTCATATAGTCATCACCCTAGCCGACTTCTCAGTGGATCGCTCAGGTTCCGCACTCACAACCAGCATCCAACGGAATCTGCCGGATCAACGGCAGCTGAACTCCATTCCTGGTCAGCTCGCAGGTCTACTTTATCCCAGGTCACCACCGTCCATCAACTAGGGGCACTCTTGCCTTCCACCACCGGAAGGATTTTCGACCCTGACAGGTCTTAATGTATGTATGTATGTATTATGTATGTATTATGTATGTATGTATGCATGTATGTGATATGCGTTGCGACCGCTATGACATCCAAACCCCTTCGTACCTTCCGCCAGCTGTGCTGCCAACTCCTGCTGTTCCGCCTCCTCCTCCGCCTCGGCCGCTGCACGCTCCACCTCTTCCTCCTCCTCGCCACCCACATCCTCCTCGTCGTCCGAGCCAAACAGATTGTCCATATCCACGTCCTCCCCGTCCCGCTGCTGCTGCTTGCGCTGTTGCTTGGCCTGCCTGGCCTCGCGTCGCCGCTGCCGCTCTTCATCCCGCGCCGCTCGCTGCTCCCGCCGCTCGCGCCGCCGCGCCTCTACGGCGGCGCGCCGCGCAGCGACACGTTCCGCCTGCACCGCACGACGCTTGTCAATGCCAGCTTGCACGGCAGCGTGCGCGTCGAGTGCTTTCTTGTAAGCCGCCAGCGCACCTGTGTCCCACCACGAACGCGAACGGAGCGGACATGAGAAGAACACGAGAATGTCAGACGACTGGGAGGCCAAGTAAGATGGTGGCGCCTAGGACGGTGGCGCTTAAGTGGGTCAACCCTACTGCGCTTTCCATCAGAAGATGAGCCATGACTTGACCACAACCAGACATCGCCCCGCCCTCCCCGCATTGCCCTGGCTTACACAGCCGGTGCACGCAGTGTGGGCCACCGGCACCATGTGGGACTCAACACCTTCGCTCTCCCTCTGTTAATTCTTCCACATCCTTCACTCCGTTGTCATCATGCTCCCCCCCTCCCTCCCTCCCTCCCTCCCTCCCCGCCTCCCTCCTAGCCTGCGCTAATGTTACGGTACCCAGCAATCCGCGCAACATATTACTCCGAGTTTCTAACGCCCTGCCTGACGCAGCAGCTGCTGCACCCTGTAATGTAACTCGGTATAGAACTCCATTCCTAAAGTGTAGCTCCCTCCCCATCCTCCCGACCGACCCGCGGGGTCAGTCGGCGCCAGCAGCTCCCCCAGCATCTCCCACATATCCGCATCGTTGGGTTGCTTGGACGTGGCGTCCTTCAACATGGCAACCGTGGCAGCAAGGCGGCTGCTACCGTCGGCAGAGGATGACCCGCGGGTCGGTGCACCAGCGCCGTCGCGGTTCAGGGCTGGCAGCAGCTGCCCCAGAATCTGCACAACAACGTAACAACGTAACACATATGCGCAAACATGGCATACCTTTAAAGCAGCACACATACAAAACAAAGAGCGAAGCAGGTGAAAGATGTGAGCGCCAGGGAAAAGGGTTCAAAAGCAGCCCTGCGCCGTGTTGTCTTTCGCACTTTGCTTTCCATCACTGGTATTTCGTCCTCCAGCGCTGGTGACCAGGCTAATTACTGAGTTCTACTGAAAAAAACATCGGCTTTTGTAGGAAAATCGCATTTATTTCAAGAACAATGGCTTTTATGTGTGGGAACAACCGCTTTTCCTTAGAAAATCAACTTCTGCCCCCTCTGCCCTAGTCCAGGCCCGCGCTAACGAACTACGCTAACGAAATGCAGAGGGGCATTTCCCCGAATCCAATTGCACTTTCTTTATTCCGGCTACCTTGAGTGCGTCATAGAAAGCGGGTGCCGCCTTGAGAGCCTCCTCCAGCTCCGTGGCCGCATTCACCAGCTGACCCGCTGCGCAGTACGTCTGGGCCATACCCAGCCGGGGAAGCGGGCTGCGCTTGTCCAGCGCGCAAGCCTGGGAGGGGGGAAAGGGGGAAAGACGAACCACGAACGAGTGAAGCTGCTGCCAAGGAAAGAGAAGCAGAACTGACCAGTAGGCGGTTTTGAAGGAGCCGACCTCGGGATGACGGCGACCGAGGAAACCTACCTACCTACCTACCTACCTAGCCGCCAAGACTAAAATAAGAGCGGAAGAAAAGCAGTAGAGCGAAGCCGTAAAGAAGGGGGGAAAGGGATGATCCCCAACGATGACGCAGGAAGGCAGGGAAACCGCCGTCTTGGGAGGGAAAACAGAGGAAAACAGCAAGGTGGCATAGATGGCCGAAATGGGGAGAACGTGCCTTGGCGTACTCCGCCCGCGCCTCATCCACACGTCCCCCCGCATGCAGAGCCCGGGCCAGCAGCGTCATCGCCTCCGCGCGAGGGCCATCCGCCGCGGGGCCCCCGGTCCCCAGCTGCGCCATCGCCTCCGCGCCCCCCAGTGCGGCTCGTGCCAACGCTTCCGCCCTGTCTGCTCTCCCTTGCAGCAAGCAGTAGTGGGCCAGGTGGGTGAGCACCCCCACATGACCCGGGTGTAATTGGAAGGCCGTCAGCAGGTGACGAAGACAGTCAGCCAGACCCTGGGGTTTGGGAGCAGGGAGAGGAGCGAGCGGGGAGGGGGAGGCACATGCAATACTCAGTCAATGAGGCAACTGTAAAGAAGTGAAGGATGGTTTTTTCCGAAACGAGTGGGAAATGGACTTGGGACTAGGGAGTGGGGAAAGTGGAAAGGCAGACACGATGATCCTGGTAAGACCCAAACGGAAAGGCGCTCTGAGCGAGTAAATGGGCGAATAGGTGGGGAGGGTAATAAGGATCAAAACAGGCGAGCCCATACGGCGCAAACCGCCCTCCTTCCTCCCCTCCTTTCTCCCCTTGCCGCGCCCCTGCTTCAGCATATTATCCCTCCTACTAACACTACCATCCGACTAGCGTAGTAGGATATAGGACAGGACGGCGCAGGCGATGTTGGGGTTCTTAAGACCCCCTCCCCCTTGCCTGCTGGGCATTTGAGTCACTCGCCGCCAGCACCGCCAGCCCCAGGTACGCGTCGGCACAGTCGGGGTCCAAGGCCAGCACCCGACGATAAGCCGCCCGCGCGGTGGCTAGGTCACCCAGCTTGAAGGCGCACGCAGCAATGCCCAATCGCACCTCCGCCGGGCACCCCGAGCCGGGGAAGTCCCGCAGCGCGGCACGGTAGCTGCGAACAATGTTGTCGCAGCGTGCAGCGGGTTTAGGTTTGTCTGGTGCTGAGTGGTGCTGAGTCATAGGATTGCTAGGACTGAGAGGGGCTTAGGGAGGGAGAGGGGTTGCGTGATCTTGGGTTGCGAGCACGTGTCTGGGTTACGTATATGTGGGTACGAGAGTGCGGATCATGAGGGTATGGAGGGGCTTTCCTTGCGTTCTGACAGATGCATGCAGGCCGACAGCCAGGCCGACGGAAGGACAGTCAGGACGGGTGGGGACCTGGCTCCCGGGGGTGCCTGGTGGGGTTTCGCCTCGCCGACACCCCCAAGCCCCTCCTAATTCTCCACAGTCCTCCCTTTCCTCATTAGGGGAACACCCAGCAACACCCAGAATGGCTCCCCCTACGCCACCGGGCTACCCCCCCCCCCAAGGCTGGCTGCTCCTCTTTCCAGCTGCTCCCGTTCTCCAATGACATCTCGTCGCCCCCTTTCCCTCTTCCACCCCCCTCGTTGCAAGCCATCCCTCCCTCCCGCTCCATTCCATCAGAGATAAGTAGCAGATACAGCGACGATGAATTTTGCATTTGCTGTTTCCAGCTGACGAGCGCTCCCCACGCATTGCTCCCTCACCGCGACTACCTCCGCTCATCTCTGCTTCCGGGCTGTGCAGCCACACTGTACGAGCGTACACGTGGTACGACCGCACGCGACTTACTAGGACATCGCCTCCTTGTACTGCTGCTGCTGGTAGGCCAGACCGGCCACCGCGAGGTAGCCGATGACGTTAGCGCGGCCGTTGTTGCGGCAGGTGGCGGCTCGCTTAAAATCGCGGGAGGCGTTCTGGAGGTCGCCCTGATGTTTGTTTGGCGGTGACGTCAAGTTGTTGAGGGCAAAATACAGCCAGCCGCGCGAGTATGAGAGGAAGGGGAAGGAAGGCAGGACGCGAAAAGTTATGGTCAGAAGAGGTGGGGGCCAAGGGGGGTGCGTGTGGGGTTAGGCGTGGGGGCGTGGGAGGAGGGTAACAAGGAAGTAATCCGCGCTGACAGGTGAGAGGTTGAGACATAGACAGTGTGCATCCTAGAAAGGAAGAGTGTGTGTAGTGTGAAAACATCACTTGGGGCTGGTGCACGGTGAGGGCGTTGTTAGCGAATGGCGCAGGGGTAGGGGATGGAAACGGAAAAGAGTGAAGGAATAGAAGGAACAGGGGAAGGTGCGCGCTGTTTGGTCATGCTTTGCCATCAGACCCTCTCACCCTGGCTAGGAAGTGCAGTCCACTGGAGAGGTGCACCAACTGCTCATTCTGGTCCAGCGTGCCGGCCTGCGTAATGAGCTTGCGGGCGTCCGATAAAAGCCTCGCCTTGCTGTCAGCCGTCTTCTCATCACGTGCCTGTGCTATTAACACTGCTGCTTTTGCTGTAAAAAAAAGGATTCGCTCGTATGTAGGCTTCTGGCCAAAGTACCGCTCTACTTCGACTGCCGTCTCCTCGCTGGTCGCTGTTTCGTATATGAGGTCGAACCCATCCAACCGTCCCTGCTGGAGATATGCTCTGGCGCAATCAAACCATGTGCTAAGTGGAGCAGCCTCGGAAACGAGCAGATCGAGCAGTTCCTCCGCGTTCTCCGGCACTTGCGATAGATCAATTGCAACAATTTCATTTGAGTCCACTACGGGAACATAAATTCGGTCCGCCATGGCAGGCGACGCGGCCTTGCGGCCCCACGGGCCGTTTTAGGGTTATGAACAAAATGATGAGTTAGACAACATGCTAAGGATTATTCCTTCTAAAAAGCAGCTAATTGGATAACGCGAGTACAGGAAGGAACCTATACTGCGGCAAGGCGACACATGCCGAAGAAAACAACACTATATTTTGTTCTTGAATGAAGTAACGCATGAAGTGATCCAGTCTGCTTCCAGTGCAGCATTCACTTTCCATGGTTTGCCCAGGAAAATATCAGCGGTTAGTACTACAACGGAATGCTAAGTTGAAACCACTTCGCGGTTAAACTTAAGAATAACACATGTAGCCATACACAATAACACATGTAGCCATACATGAAATGGATCGCAAGGGGATATGGCATCTTGCGATCACATCCACTTGGATTCTGCGACTCGTCTTTCTAACTACTTTTCCAAGGGAGTTGTCGCCGTCAGAACATACAGCAGCGAGTCACAGCACCTGCAGTCTTGTCTATGTGCAATACTGGTTTTGAGCTACTGCTTGAAACCAGCAATTGCGCGGAACATTTGCACCTGCAGTTCATTAAGATCCCCGCGGGCCAGGTGTCAACAGCAAGCCAAACCGCGCCACAAGTCGTCGCACGTCTTATGCTTCAACCTAAACGAGTTACACTCCGATCAACACACGGCGTCGCGGCTGCACCAGGCCCGGCCGACAGCTCTGCGTCCCACACCGATGTCGATGCTCAATTCCTGAGCCGCCACCTTATTCTTCATCCTCCAGTAGGCGCCACCGGTGCTTTGCAAGTGTTGCATGCTTATGTAGCTGCCGCGATGCCGCCTGAGCTGAGGCCTGTCGGCAGCGACCCGGCAACTGCGATTGTGTACCCGTGCACGGCAGTGCCACAGGCCGGTGGATTGATGGGATAGGCCGCCGCCCGCGCTGCCACTTTCGTTGCCTTACAGTCAGTGCAATCGATGTATTCCCAACCGATGGAATTGGACAGCTGCATGGCAGAGGAAACCTGCAGGACTGCGTTGACCGTGACACTGCACGAGCCCTGGCCTCGCAGTTGGCGGACAGCTGCCGCACCTTGGGCCTGCCCGTGGTTGCTGCCGTTCCTTTAAAACTAAGCTATCCATGGACACCCGTCATGGACGGTGCCTCAAATATTGCTGTGCTATTTAAATTTTCACATGTTCGCATAGTATCTTCTTTTCTTTTTCTCCTAAAACGAATCTATTATCATAGAATTATTATTCCATAAATTGAGAGCTTTGGATGGGCAGGTAGGGGTACGTGTGTCTAGCTGCCTGTTGCCTAACGTTCCGCACATTAGCTACACTTCCCAGACAGGCTGTTGTCCCGCTGGTGCTGCGGGTCAGCGGCCGACATGTGCGGTTCACTGTTAGAGCGGAAGGACGATATCGATGGGGTCCCAGCATGTCGCACGGGATTGTCAACAGCCACAGCACAACTGCATGGTGGCCGCGTTTCGTCTCGCTGGCGAAGCGTAGGCTGAGGGGGAAAGTGAGAACATGCAGGCAGTAAATACAGCACTGCGGAGCACGTTATCAACCAGCGATGCTGGCCTTGCTGGCCATACATACGGAAGCAGAGACTCTGCCAAACGCCATAGCTCGACGTTCGCGTGGAGAACTTGAAAAGGGCCTAAAAAAGGCCATGCCAGGACACCGGAGGCCATCCATGGCTCAGCGGGAAGGAAGTATAACAGGCTGGGCAGGACTGGGCTGGGCGGGAAATGCGGGCGCTCCAGTCAACTTGCTTGTCCTTCGGGTAGCTCGCTTTTGGTGTGCAGGCTACGAGGAATTCCTTTGCCTGCATGGCTAGTGCTTTACTGAGCTGTGGTCTAGACACGAAGCTTGCTAACCATACAGCCAGGGTGTCATGCAGCGGCTCAATAAAATGCCTCCAGGTTGTAATACAAAGGCCTGGCTGTCATATAAGGACCTTGCCGTAGATAAGCCGGTACATTGGCAAAAGGCGAATGCCAGCAGTCTCCGGGACCACAGCTCCGAAACAGAGTTTGGAAATCCTCACATTCACGCCTACCTAGGTAGGCTTGGCTGCAATTGGATGAGGAAGTAAGTATACTATATCCACGTGTAACAGCAAACCACATGAAGCTCGGCGACTATAAGGCCTTCCTAGCCTAAGACTTCATTCATGCAAATATGCACTAAACATTCTTTTATATTACGAGCATCCGTTCAATCCCTCAGTGCCTCGGTGATTTGATGCGCATATGATTTAAAGCATCTACCCTGGTTTGGAACCAACTGTCATTGCGTAAGGATAATCACAAGGGAACTTATTGACCTAGACCGCTTGAACCATTAGCTCATTAGCAGCCGGTAAAAGATCGCGACAAAGTTCAAGATAGCACAGGCGGTGGACAACGCCACATAAGTCGACATACGGCAACCTTTGCCAGTAAGCAAAAATGGTCTTCGGCATGGGCAAGGATAAGAAGCCAACAGAGGAGTCTAAGCAAGAGGAGCCCTCGCCGGAAATCCCCAACGTCAGCTCAACGCAGCCAGACCCCTTCGCGACTGACCCGGTCCTCTCTCAGATGCCCCGACCGTCATCCGTTTTCGAGTTTGGACCTCTGGTGCAAGTAGGCTCGGAGTACATGCGGGGAGTATGCACCGGCGACAACCCCGATGCGATCCAGGCTTGCACCTGGACAATTGAGGAGGCGCAAGGGAAACCGAAGGAGAAAAAGCACATTTTTCGAGTGGAGTTCTAGCTACATTTTGGCGAATGGATCCGTTATGACTGAAGTGGGTGCGCAGTTTCCTAGCTTTGCGGGTAGGCCCTATGTTCCTAGATGGTCCTTGGGTCACCCAGGGCATTGCGGCTCTACCAATCCGGACACGTCGAGTTACAGCGAAGTAATAGCGTCTAGTAGTGCTTCCGAATGGTTAATGCGTTTTTCATGTGAGGTGTGTTTGCAGTCACGTCGTCATTTATCGTCTCGCTCGTTGCGAAGCTGTGGTTGCGCGTGTTGGTCTCGCCTTCTCTCCTGCAGAACCCCCATGGTGCCTTAGCCTCCTTGCACATCACCTCATACGGCCTGCCGAACCGCCGTGTGTCTTTCCGGTGTCAATACCTCTTTGCATGCGTGCGCGCCATCACGTGTTCTTGGCAACAGGGCAGGGGGGAAAGTCCCCATGTGGAAAAGAAGAGTGGAAATCTCCGGAAGCCCTCCTGGTGGTGTCCGTCTCTCTTCCTCCTCCGCCAAGTAGCTTTAAGCTGTGAATGCGCGGGCCTTACTCAGTAGCAAAGCTCCGGCGGCGGCGGCGTCTCGGGAATCTGCAGGGCAGTGTCCAGAATGGCAGTGGTGGTGATGATGACGGTGGTGGTGGTCGACAAGGGGGTTTCTGGGCGAGTTGGGTCACGGTAATGGGTGGGCGAGTCTTAGATCGGCCAGCGACTTGCGGCTCGATGTGGGGTCCGGGCCCAGGATGAGGCGGTTGGGCCGGGTGCTGAGCTCTACATCGATTTTGCCTCAAATCTTATCGTAACCCAGACAGACTACCACAGGTGCAACTCGCAAAGGAGGAGGGGGACTTAGATGTGAGAAACACTTCCTACTGTACCTTGTATGTATGTATGAATGTATGTATGTCCCAATCGGCACTGGACCCGACGAGCTTCACCCAGTCAGGCAGTCACTCTAGCCCCTTGGTCCTCCTTCACAGCTCATACACAGACAACGAGACTCCCTAGCTGCTGATACGTGGAAACCTGTTCACCGGTTGCCGCGAGCAACCCTGCTGCATGTGTACGTAAGTTTTAGGCAGCAATCAAGTTCTGCACATACATATATACAGGCAGAACATGCACGTGCCAGAAGCAACTGCAGCTCCCAGCAGCCTTTCCTTCTAACCCGTCATCCGCTTATCTCGGCGCATACAGAGTTTCCCCCACACACACACTCGGGCTACACACACATACACACATACACGCTCCGGACCACGCCCGGGCTCCAGGAAGGGAGTTGGGTTAAGTGAGGTACGTCGTGTAGTGTGTACAGTGTGTCGTGGATAGCTGGGGGGTCGCAGCAAAGAGATCAGATCAACGCAACGAAGCGGAAGGAAGGAAGAGATCAGATCAACGCAACGAAGCGGAAGGAAGGAAGAGATCAGATCAACGCAACGAAGCGGAAGGAAGGAAGAGATCAGATCAACGCAACGAAGCGGAAGGAAGGAAGAGATTAGACCAAAGCAAGCAAGGACGCGGCCAACCTGCACCCCCCGGGTAGCGGAAGGATTCTGAAGAGCTGGAGGCGGTGGCCCCCCACACACAGCACATGTGCATGACCACGTGCAGGAGCAGGAAGGTACATCGGAAAATGGGGATTCAGAAATGGTCAAGGTGGGGGACGTACGCCCGATGTGGACCACTGAGACCATGTGGCCGCACACAGGATATAGCCAGTGTCACCGCAAGCTTGCACTCACCTTGCCTAGGGAGAACGCCGTAGCTCGGAACGCCTGAGACTCCTCCTCCGCATTGCCTCTCCCACCACCACCACCACCACCACTACCACTGCCACCACCGCCAGGTGCCGTTGCTCCAGCGCCACCGCCAGCCGGAGCGACCATCACTGTCGCTGCTTGTGCTGCTGCCGGCAACTGGCTGAAGGGCGAAGCTGCAGCAGCAATAGCGCCGGCGGCAGGGGTGGCGGAAGCTACCGCTGGTACGACCAACATCGTGGGAGAGCCAAAGCCTTGGAGTGCTGACGTCGGCAGGAAAGGCGCCGCCGCCGCGGCTGGCGGCCCCGCAGACGGGAAGGCCCCGCCGGTGCCCGTGCCGATGGTGAGGGGCGGCAGAGGCAGAGGCGGGGTCCCACCTCCCAGAGCCTGTTGAGCAGGTGCCGCAGTCACGACGGTTTGTCCGAAGAGTACGGCCGGCGCCTGGCTGGGGCCGGACTTGGCGGCGCCGAAACCTCCTTGGCCAGCCCAGGAACCTAATTGATCGGGTCGCAAGGATATGATACGGTTTATAAATTAACTCATACGGAGCGGAAACCAGTACGGCATAGTACGGCAGAATGATAAAGCGCAGCGTGTGGATCAATGCCGCGAGGTCCCCGTGAGAAGGATACGACGCCTTCTCACCCTTGGCGCCGCCGCCGCCGCCGCCGCCCGGCGCTGCTCCGAAGCTACCGGCCCCAGCACCGAAACCACCCATCATCGCTGCTCCCGGCTGCTGGGCCGGTGCTCCAGCTCCAAATCCCCCTGGCGCTCCGAAGCCCGCTGGCTGACCAAAACCCGTCGCTGCCGCCGCCGCCGCCGGTGCCCCAAAGCCCCCTAGGGCAGGTGCTGCCGGCGCCGCGGCCGCAGCCTGGCCGAATCCGGTGGCTGCAAAAGCAGGCGGTTGGACGAAACCGCCGCCGCCGCCGCCGCCAGGTTGTGCTCCTGGGGCGCCGGTTACCCCTCCTCCCAGGGGCACGCCACCTGCTACTGCTGCAGGCGGCGGCTGTTGCTGCTGGCCGCCAAAGCCGAAACCTCCGGCGGCTTGCGGCTGCAGGGCGGTGCCGAATCCTTTTCGCCGTTGGGGAAGGGGAGGAGGGAGAACCATGTTTGCAAGAAGGTGAACGGAAAAGGGGCAGAAGTCAGATTTCAAGGAAACGACTGCCAACTGCCAACTGCTACGTGGTTTAGGGGGGTTGGGGGTACTACTTATGGCCGACCTGCGGCGACCTGAACCTGGACAGGCCACTGAGGTGCAGGAGGTGGCCCAGCTCCCGGGTAAGGGAGGTAGCGAGGGCAAGGAGGCAGGGAGGGCAAGGAGGGCAAGGAGGCAGGGAGAGCAAGGAGGGCAAAGACGCAAGGAGGGCAAGGAGGCAGGGAGGGCAAGGAGGGCAAAGAGGCAGGGAGGGCAAGGAGGGCAAGGAGGCAGGGAGGGCAAGGAGGGCAAAGAGGCAAGGAGGGCAAAGAGGCAAGG